CACTGTAATGTCTGCACCTGTTGTATTCGGCGCATGTGACCAATAAAATTTGATTTGATTTGATTTGATTCCATGGCGCCCGCTGGGTGGGTTTGGGCTGGATGCTGTCTGAGGAGAGCTCACTGACAACTGTAGAGGAGAAATGGCTTAGAGCAGGGGCACTGACGATGAGTCACCTCCCACCTGCCAGATCCTTCTGCAGATACACACACATACACACACATTCATACATAATTAATACACAACGACAACATAGACCTACACACATATGCAGTCTTCACACACGGATATAATGTAAGATGAAAGCAGACATCACTCACTGGGCCTTGAGGGAACTGCACAACCAGTGAAGGCTGCTGTTCTGACCCCAGGCTCTGAATCACTGAGAAGTCCAGCTCTCTCCTCTCCTTAGTAGTGCAGGAGGGCGTCCGAGGTGGAGAGAAGCTTAATTTACGCCCAGTAGGTCATTGGTCACCCTCACACCCTGCTCCCCAGTGCGAGCCATGCAGAGATACAGGCATGCTAATTGCATCAGACAGGGAAACCTAGAGAGGGAAGTGAATATCTCATTTGTGCCCGTGTGTGGGGTGAAGCGAATGCCAGTCATCTAATTGCTTTCACACCGCCCTGATTGAATTAGCTGGCACGGCCCAGGCCCTAATTGAATTCTGGAGCCCTGTGTGTCACTGCTCAGCCAAATAGAAGTGTGTTCCCTATGGAAGGGTCGGCATGAAGGGGACAGACTGGCTTTACTTACACCCCCTACCTACACTATGGATGCTCTCCTTAGGTTAACCTGTGGCCATGGCTGGCCCAGCTGGCTGGCCCATCACAAGGTTCGCTTCTCCTCACATGTGACCACTGCAGAGTAAACATCTTAGGATTCAGAACAGTACTAGTGTTAATATTTGCAAGCTGTCCATATTATAGCTTTAACAGTTTTTGCTCATCTAATTTGGATCTGATTGGCTCCCTCGTGGGACAGTGAGTATGGCACAAATCAGCCCCTCTCTCTTTATGGTCTATCCTTATTAAGGGATAACATCTGATCTCTATTTCCCAGTGATTCATCCAAATAGTTTATACAGTAGACAGAGAGCAGAAGTGCCATGATACCAAGCCCGTTGCTCCCTACAGTGGCCCTCTCTCTCTGTGACAATAGGAAACGTCCTGCCCGTTTTCACCGCTTTCAGCACTTTTTTCTGCTGCGCTAACAAAACCTCACACCTCCAGTTCTTTCCCCTCCAGCCTTTTCTCTTTCACACACACACGTAATGAACACTCACACACGCAAGCACGCACACACACACCTTACCCCTTTCTTTCCCTTGTCTCTTTTTAATGCTGCTTTCATTAAATTCAGCATTTTGGGGGGGGATTTTGAAGCAGCTGAATAGGAGGAATGGGGAAACAGGAGAGGGGGTGGGGGGTGTGGACAAAGGACCTCTCTGTCGGGCGGGGTTGCTGGGGGACGGGGGGACGGGGAGGTGTGGAACAGGTCATGGGTTTCTCTCAATAGACATGCCTCTGGCTGGATTAGTGGCTGTTATCAGCCAGATGATTCCATGGCCATGGTGAGGCACTGCACAGCTCAGACAACCATGATGGAAATGTCAAATGCCCAGCCTTTGTTTGGGTTCTTCCTGGCTGTCTGGGCACACCATTCTGCTGCTGTGCTGCCTGCATGTATTTCTGTGTGTGTCTGTGTGTGTGTGTGTACGTGTGTGTGTCTGTGTGTGTCTGTGTGTGTGTGTGTGTACGTGTGTGTGTGTGTGTGTGTGTGTGTGTGTGTGTGTGTGTGTGTGTGTGTGTGTGTGTCTGTACGTGTACGTGTGTGTGTGTGCTTGTGCGTACGTGCGTGTGTCTCTATATGTGTGTGTTCAAACTGAGCTGGAGAAGCCAGATGCACTGTCAGCTCAGAATGCTTCCAGTAGAGTGGCTGGCTTCATCATCAGCACTGCCACTGAAAACAATGGAGCCCCACCTTTTCACACAGACTAGGCTGGACACAGTGGCTCTGAGCTGCAGGTTCCTTCTTCTCATTAACATAAATCTGCCTGTCTGAAACTTCCAGGAAGCCTTTGAAACAACCAGCAAATTACCTGCTGTAAAACCTGACTGGCTCCCTGGCACGAGGATTTACCTCTCACAATACCCTTTTTATACAGTGAGTCAACAGTACTCCCAATTAAATTCTTTATGTCAGGACGTGTTATTAAAGGTCATAACACAGAAAGGGTTGGGCTCTAGCCAGTCACTGTGTTGCCTTTGCTCCAGAGAACAGCAGTCATTGAGATGTGACAGCCAAGCCTTTCCTTTCCTGGCGTGTGCCTGGAACCGCTTTGAGGTGATCTGGACCCTTTGACATGGCTGCCACTAAATTAAATCCGAAGTGTTTATAAATTCCATTAGAATGTTTCTGTGCGCCTTTTCTTCTTGACTTAATGCAGTGTTTCATCACTTCTGTCAAAATCCAGAGAGCTGAGAAAACGTGCTTATTTATTTAAGGATATTAATAGAGACATATATTTAAAAAGAATAAAAGAGAGGAGGGAAAATAAAACTACAGCAATGAATATTCCCCTCATAATTACCTCTCCTTGCCAGAGTTGTAAGCTACATCCTTGCATGTTGACTGAGGGAGTCGAGGGAGATTGTGATCAAACAGCTCAACAGTACCAATCTGAGTGAGGAGGGAATCAAAGCGCTGATTTGCTTTTTAATCAGAGCTGTGTTCTCGTCTGCAGGCTACATCTGACACCAAGCAGCTCCTCAGCCCTCTAACACAGCCTCCTGAAAGACTGGTGGAATTCCTCCCCACCAGCCCGGCCTGTTGGTCTGTCTGTCTCTCTGTCTGTCTGTCATGGATGCTACAGGATAGTAGGAACAGTAAGGACAGAAAAAGCCAAACCTGGCCATATCCGGATACCAAACAATAGACAATAGGCCTAGTTGTTGACACTGTGCCCCCTTCCCAACTCCCTCTTCCATATACAGAATGCTTGGCCTAAACACCCATTCACTCAATCCTAAGCACCGCCTACTGTTTTTCTCTTTTTCTCTCCTCTGCTCCACCCCTTCTCCTTTCCCTCTCGCTGGTTCTTTCTGCTGTTGTCTTTGGTAGCGCTCCTCTGAGCTCTTCACTGCCATAGACCACTGTGTTCTTTAGTCTCAGTCCCAATCCACAGATCTGTAGCTGGGACCTCATTCAGTGACTCTGGTGACTGGCAGTGTGAATGTGCCGGCATCATGTTTTACTCTGTACCAGGTTGATTTCCCCCATCAATCACAGGAGAAGAAAAATATGTTGAGACTAATATTTATTGAAGAGCTTGATCAGATTTTATCCCCAATACTGCTTCCTGCGACTGACATTTATGACTATGATCTTTCTACAGGATGCATCAGCCTCACTGAACATTGTCCTCTGTGTGTGTGTGTGTGTGTGTGTGTGTGTGTGTGTGTGTGTGTGTGTGTGTGTGTGTGTGTGTGTGTGTGTGTGTGTGTGTGTGTGTGAGACACTTTTTTCTAAGGAATCTGAGTTTGATGGACAAGGGACAGGGCCAGGGATTGGGTTACTAAAGCACAGCAGTGCTATAGTGTGTGCAACAGTTTTGGACGGAGGATGATGATTGAGATGTGTTTTACAGGGAGTTTGTGGGGAGTTGGAATTGGAAAAGAGCAGTAATCCTGCTCCAACATGGTGTTCCAGCATGATCACTGGGCAATGGTATCTATCTTCCTAGTATAAACAGTGGGATTGAACCTGGATTTATCCTGCCTTGTGATTTGACCTTCTCCAAATAAAGTTCCAGCTGCAGACGTTTCCATATGGCACACACTTTAATCCATCTGTAATTGGCAGCTCAGACCAGGGATGATAGGGAAATGACGGTTTTATTATTCCTAGATATGGAACATAGTGGGGGTTTGTGAGATGGGATATGGTGCAGAGTATTCAACAGGATAAGGATCCCTCCAGATGTTTTTTTTTGCGATCCCAATGTTGCATAATGTATCACAGGGATCGTTCTCAGGTAGCATTAGTATAAGGACATTCATAACTCTGTGAAGGTCATTCATAAGTGTGGCACCTCCTGTGTGTGAATTTTTCATGTGTGGCTTTAGCTCGTAGCGAGTCCCCACACCACTCCATTTCCTCCTCTTACGGATGGGGAGACAGGGAGGGAGGTGGGTGGTGATTATCTCAAGCTAAACCAACCTCAGCTGGTTTGGCCCAAGTACAAAAACAGCTCTTGACATGGTGCTTGAGCAGGGGCTGCTGTGCATTCTGGGAAGGGTTCCACAGTGTGCGTGTGTGTGTGTGTGTGTGTGTGTGTGTGTGTGTGTGTGTGTGTGTGTGTGTGTGTGTGTGTGTGTGTGTGTGTGTGTGTGTGTGTGTGTGTGTGTGTGTGTGTGTGTGTGTGTGTGTGTGGGGTGTGGTGTATGTGTGGCGGGGGTGGCTGAGGTAAGGATGTTTCACTGTAAATGGTAGTGCTTGACTGCTTTTTACATGCACACGCACACACACACACACACACACACACACACACACACACACAAACACACACACACAGTTTTGATGCAGTAGTGTGTGATCCTCATCATCCCTATCCATGGCTGTAAGTTTTCCTCCCACTCTCCCAGCGAGAGTAGAGGACCTTTAAAGAGCACTTAACAGGAAGTAGACCACTCCAGAGGATCTCAGGCAACTAGTGCGCTGTGAGCACAATGAATTATGAAAGTAAAACACAGTACTGTACATACCATGTTGTCATCCCCACAGAGAAACCCTCACATGCGAGGAGGATGCACTAATGCATATTTATGCTCTGACTCTTTGTTCTGTGTTTATGTGTCTTTTGCATTGTGGTTGCTGGACCGCATGTCTCGTAAAGTGAGATGAAGCCAAACAGGGAATAAAACTGACCAAACATGAAATATGTCAATGGCTATATGTTCATATCTCATCTCTCTCTCTTCTGTTTTTTTCCCCAGCTTGTCCATCGGGCTTCTTCAAGCCTATACAGGGTGATGTATCCTGCATGCAGTGTCCAATCAACAGCCGCACCACCAACGAAGGAGCCACTAACTGTGTGTGCCGCAATGGTTACTATCGCTCAGACTCAGATCCCTTCCAGATGCCCTGCACAAGTATGTACTATCGACCAAACGCACACACACACACACACACACACACACACACACACACACACACACACACACACACACACACACACACACAGACACACACACAAACACACTCTTTTAATTTCACACCCTGGTCCTGAGGAACTGAGAGGAATCAAAGATCAAAGGACACAAGAGCCTCTCTGAGCAGAAACAGAGGAGGCCTGTCAGAGAGCAGTCCCTCACATACACCCAGCACTGACATGCTCATAGAGCCCATGCCAACAGGTCTGGCCCAACACACACAGGCCAGCTTCCCCTCCTCACATCACTGTGCCCTGCTGCCCTCAGCCAAAGCAGAGGTTACTGGGCCAGGCCATGCAGCATTGTAGCGGGACAGGCAGGGAGAATAGACTGGGCCAAGATTCCTCTTGTCATGCCAATGAAGCCATTTGAATTAGAATTTGTGGTTGACGGAGGGGCTAAGAAAAGAGAAAGAGAACACAGGCGGGATAAAGATTAAGAGGAAGACATGAACACAGAGCGGGAGAGAGAGGAATATGCAGTATATATAGTTGTGGCTACGAAGAGTAAGGTAGAGATTAGAGATCGAGAGAGAGAGAGAGATGAGGAGAGGAGATAGAGAGAGATAGTAGAGAGAGATAGAAGAGAGCGAGGTAAGAGAAGAAATAGAAGAGATAGATAGAGAGAAAAGAGAGAAGAGAAGAAGAGAGAGAGAGAGAAGAGAAGAAGAGAGAGCCAGCTCCTTTCACCACTGTGGCTGTTTTTTTTCTCCTTCCCTCCTCTGTGAAAGGGGAAGGGACAGAAATATTTGAGAGCTTCCAACAAAGGAGATTTGCATAAGCCCGGCTCTGGGAGCAGAGCAGCTGTTATGAATGAGAAAGCAGCGTCACGTCGCTGGTATTAAACGCAGCGGGCCCGGGCTGATTAAAGGAGGGAAACGGGCCCATCTGAGTGGCCCTCGAGCTAACAGGGGCCATTAGCCGCCCATTCCAGCCCTCCCCAGGAAGGAGATGATGTTTAGGAGGCTGTTTTGCGTGAGAGAGAGAGACACACAGAGGGCCTCGATGGGCACTGCTCCAGGCCTGGAGGTCTCTTAATGGGAGCCAATTAAAAGGGCGGTTAAATAAGTGATCAATTCAGGTTTAGGAGTTTGTGGGCTGGGGGAATTTTGTTGTTTATCTCATTAGCCCTGGAGAGGGCATCCTCCCTAATTAGCTGCACATGCCCGTAAAAGATCAACAGTACTCATTGTGTGTTTGTTTGGGCTGTCAGTCAAATGTGATGCCATGGGGAATGTTACTTTCAACCAGTAATGCCTCTATACGTAGTGGTTGTGTATGAGGAACAGTCACTTTCTCTGTCCTGCAGTACTTCTATATGATGCTCTGCTATACATAACCAACAGATTGAAACAAATATGTGCCAACATGGACATGAAAAGTCATCTTATCTTCATGTTGAAGTCCAGTGTGTTTAAATGGACTTCCTGGGGGAAGGATTTAGTTGAGCATACCAGGCAAAGACCTCAAAGAGACTGTACTGTATTTGTGGGCGTGTGGGTTCTCTCTCCTCCAGCGAAGGGGTTATTTGAGTAGAGTGATACTACATCTGGTATTCCTACCCCCAAGAACTCCAAGGACACAAGACACTTAATTCCCCTGCCAACATCTGACTGAAATGTCATGAAGTAGTTATTTTGAACTAACTAGAGTACTTTGAGTCCATTTGTTTTTCTTACACCTTAAGTCTGTAGGTAGGTAAACCACACTCCACATACACTATATATACAAAAGTATGTGGACACCCCTTCAAATTAGTGGATTCGGCTATTTCAGCCACACCCATTGCTGACAGGTGTATAAAATCGAGCACACAGCCATGCACTCTTCATAGACAAACATTGGCAGTAGAATGGCCTTACTGAAGAGCTCAGGGACTTTCAACGTGACACCGTCATAGGATGCCACCTTTCCAACAAGTCAGTTCGTCAAATTTCAACTGTAAGTGCTGTTATTGTGAAGTGGAAACGTCTAGGAGCAACAACGGCTCAGCCGCAAAGTGGAAGGCAACACAAGCTCACAAAACGGGACCGCCGAGTGCTGAAGCACGTAGCACATAAAAATAGTCTGTCCTCAGTTGCAGCACTCACTAACGAGTTCCAAACTCTCTCTGGAGCAACGTCAGCACAATAACTGATTGTCTGGAGCTTCATGAAATGGGTTTCCATGGACGAGCAGCCGTACACAAGCCTAAGATTACCATGCGCAATGCCAACCGTCGGTTGGAGTGGTGTAAAGCTCACCGCCATTGGGCTCTGGAGCAGTGGAAACGTGTTCTCTGGAGTGATGAATCACGCTTCACCATCTGGCAGTCCGACGGACAAATCTGGGTTTGGCAGATGCCAGGAGAACGCTACCTGACCGAATGCATAGTGCCAACTGTAATGTTTGGTGGAGTTGGAATTATGGTCTGGGGCTGTTTTTCATGGTTCGGGCTAGGCCCCTGAGTTCCAGTGAAGGGAAATCTTAACGCTACAGCATACAATGACATTCTAAACGATTCTGTGCTTCCAACTTTGTGGCAACAGTTTGGGGAAGGCCCTTTCCTGTTTAAGCATGACGATGCCCTCGTGCACAAAGCGAGGTCCATACAGAAATGGTTTGTCGAGATCAGTGTGGAAGAACTTGACTGGCCTGCACAGAGCCCTGACCTCAACCCCATCGAACACCTTTGGGATTAATTGGAACTCCGATTGCGAGCCAGGCCTAATAGCCCAACATCAGTGCCCGACCTCACTAATGCGCTTGTGGTTGAATGGAAGCAAGTCCCCGCAGCAATGTTCCGACATCTAGTGGAAAGCCTTCCCCAAAAGAGTGTAGGCTGTTATAGCAGCAAAGGGGGGACCAACTCCATATTAATGCCCATGAGTTTGGAATGAGATGTTCGATGAGCAGGCGACCACATACTTTTGGTCATGTAGTGTATGAGACTACTCTAAATGCTTCTCATATTCCAAACAGAAACTGTCCCAGTTGACTGTCTATTGTCTGTGTTTCTCCAGCGGTGCCGTCGGCTCCTCAGAATGTTCTGTCTATCGTGAACGAGACATCTCTGATGCTGGAGTGGCAGCCTCCTAGGGAGTCGGGGGGTCGTGAGGATGTGGTCTTCAACATCATCTGTAAGAGCTGTGGAGGGGGCCGGGGAGGCTGCACACGATGTGGGGACAACGTCCAGTTTGTACCCCGCCAGCTGGGTCTGACAGAGCCCCGTGTTTACATCAGTGACCTGCTGGCCCACACACAGTACACCTTCGAAGTGCAGGCCGTCAATGGGGTCTCCGAGCAGAGCCCCTACTCACCACAGTACTCCTCCGTTAACATCACAACCAACCAGGCTGGTGAGTACACTCTTCCTTATGCTCTCTCTGTCTCTCTCGCAGGCACACACGCACACACACCCACACACACTCTCACACACACACACACACAATGACGCAGTTTCATGTTCCTCTAGTGTGATGTAAGTATGCAGATTTGTTCTAAAACAGGAGTGAGGGGATTGTTGATGATGTCACAGCCAGGTTTTGATGGCCTGTTGGTCCTCAGTGTGACCTCATCAGGGCTCTCAGACAGAGTAGCTCAGCGTAGTGAGCACTACTCTCACTCCTGTCTCCCCTGACTGCTGCGTGGTTATTACAGTCCTAACATCTCAGGCCCTTGCTTCATCCAGCCACTTAGTTCTACTAGCTACCTTGTAAACTGCATCCAAAATAGTAATGGGAAGATTAGTAAGAGGCCACTGCCTTTTCAGTGAATAATAACCTCTAATGAAAAACAGGTCTGTTTGTGATTGGCCTAACTTTTTCATCTGTGGGATCTTGGAGAAACATGCTCCAATCAATGGCTGTCTCCTGTAACTATGGTAGCTGTGCATGTTTTCCACTGTGTGCTTTATGGTTGTAGATGGCTGCGCCTCCATTATTTAATCCAACTAGCAGAATTGATTTGCTCTTTAATTGTCTGTATGAGACGCATTATTTGATGTGCCAGGCTGTTCTGCCTGAGCACTGATGAGCAGGGAAACGGGCTACAGGCTTTATCTACGCCAGGGCTTTGTGTCCTGTTGGCAGTATGAGTAAGCGCCTGTCATCTCTCATCTGACTGGCCTTCTATGTCTGAGCTCCCCAAGGCCCTGTGTTACTGTGGATTAATAAAGTGGACATATAAAACTTCTCCCTCCTTTACTTCCAACTGAAGTTCTTACGTGGATGTGACTCACTATGATTCAAGCGAGGAAGTTTGAGAAAAGTAAGATAAGATAAAATGCAGTGAAAAGGAAGAAACAGTTATGCATTCTGTGGGATACAGTTCTGAAGTGTGGAATACAGTATATGGGCCTCATACAGCACATTTCAACACATTTGAATCAGATTTGTTTTTAAAGCAGCATGCAATACTAGTAGGTTGCATCCGTTAGAGTCAGTCAAATAATAATGCTTAAAAACGTATCTCTGAGTTATTAATATAACTTGGATGCTTGAATTGAAAGAACCACCTCTTTTTGATGGTGTGTTTTGAAGTAAGTGGTTAGTGTGTGGGGGCGGGGGAGTAATGAGGGCCTCAGAGTGCAGTAAAGCCTTCTAATGAGGCCCCTGCCTTAACTCTCCCTCACTGGGCCACAATAAGTCTGCCACCCCTGCCCCAGCCTTCTCCCCCTCCCCCTGCCATGGAGTCCTGGCGGAAATTGGGGGGCTCTGCACTGAAGTGGCCGTCACATCGTATTACAGCTCCAGGGCTCCCATCAGAGAGAGCTGTTAAAGAAACTGAACTCTGGCTCACTCCCCCTGCCCTGTGACCAGCCTGGGTCCTGCCTGGGACAGCGGGGCAGTGCTGTGTGGTTCCACAGTGGGCTGGGGCCGGGGTCAGTGGGACCAGGGGCCCGTAATTGCGTCTGGTTTGGGAGGTTTGGAGGTTACATAAACATCATGTCACCCCTAATTAGCAGAGCCGGCCCCGTACCTCCCCCTTACTATACAGAGAGAAAGTGTGCATGTGTGCTTCAGTTTGTGTGTGTGCGTGAGTGTGTGTGCGTGGGTGTGAGTGTGTGTGTATTTTAGTTAATCAGACACGTTTGGAACCTAAAGCTATGTGCTGGGGGCTTGAAAGAAACAAATAAGTAAATTGGATGTGACTGGCGTGAAAGTGTTCCTCTCATGTGAACGACTCCCGTCCTCGGCTGCTAGGACTTGTTGACGAGGGGTAAACAAACAGGGTGTGAGGAGACGAGGGTAAGTTCTCATTCACCACCCCCAATCAACACATTGCACATAACACCAACTACGCTCTGTTATGCTCATCAACAGTGTTCCTGTGACTGAGGACGTGCATGGTTGCCTAATAGTGCAGTATTTCATGTCATACTGTAGAGTCAGTCACATAATAAAGTGAAGCTTGTTTTGTGAGGATATGACTAATTCCCACACACTCTTATTATGTGGAAAGTGTTCTGATTTTGGCCTTGATAAATAGCCCAGAAATCCTCATAATGATGAGTCACAACCAAACTATTCACTAATGATCAGCTTTTCTCCTCCATCAAATATTGAAAAGAGATGATCAACGCAATGTTTTCCATAATATTTACAATGAAAAGAGGGAGAGAGAGAGAGAGAAAGAGAGAGAGAAAGACAGAAAGAAATTGAGAGAAGAGAGAGGTAGGGAGAGTGAAGATAGGGAGAGGGTGAGAGAGAGGTAATTTGATGTGACCCTGAGGCAGCATGTCTGTGGCAGAGGAGGGGCGGCAGAACAGAGTGGGAGTGTTTTTAGTGAGACACAAAGGTGTGATGATGACTTGATGAGTTAGGACAAGAGACGAAGAGAGGAGGGAAGTGATGAGACAAGCCCTGAGATGAGTAGTGATGCCTCAGTCCACCAACAGACACAGAATACTGTCTGCAACCCTCTGGTAATACTATTAGAGCCCCTAGCACATGCATGCCTAGGTTAAATTGCTTTAGTTATTCATCTGTTGTGAGCAGCCTTAACAAGGCCTTATTCAGAAAAAAAACGATGGTTTATTTTGGCTGTCTGCTCTGGGGCTGGGATGACACCCCTAGTCTGTGGGAATGCACAGAAAACACCCACACACATGTAGAGTGGCTAGGGGTTATAGGTGACAAATGGCTGAAGACAAAGCTAGCCTTTAGCTTTCTTTCATAGTGGTTAATGGGGGTTTCTCTCTCTCTCTCTCTCTCTCTCTCTCTCTCTCTCTCTCTCTCTCGCTCTCCCTCTCTCCCCCCCTCTCTCTCTCTCTCTCTCTCTCTCTCTCTCTCATCATTGCTAGGGGATAAAATTGTTGCTAAAATCCCACCACCCCTTTAAGTGTTTAATCAGACACATCCCTGACATCTCACTGGGACCGCTAGTCTAAGTCCACTTCACTTCTCTGGTCCGACACACACGCATGCACACACACACTGAAGGGCTGTTTGATTAAAAGGAGGAACACACACAAGCCCAACACCAGAGCTTTCAGTGAGTGACCGATAAATGTTGTGGTTCTGAGAGTAATTACTGTTATCACCATGTCAGTCATGTCTACCGGGGAAGTCTTTTACACCAATCAAAATATGTGTTTGGGGGTGACTCACAAAATAGATAATGAATGGTATAGATGATCAATGATAGTGTCCCATTTTGTGTTGCCTTACAGGCAGTGAATCACATTGATTCTACAGTAGGTGCGAGGATAGTCATATTTTGCTCAATAGTGATTGCCCTGGTTATCAATAGTTGCAGTGTACGTGTGGTAGATGCAACAATATTCCTTCCTCCCTCAATCAAAACTATTAGCATTCTGCCTGGGACTTCCATGGAGCTCTGCAGTCAATGAATAAGACCTCCATAGTCCATATACCCATCAATGCTTCTGACTATGTTCTACACCGTGTGTAGCTCTATTAAATTGTAGAGGACATGTTTGTTTAGGCGTTTCATTAGCCCAAGGTGAGCCAGGGAAGCTGCTGCTAATACAGGGAGGAAGGAGACCGACTGAATTGGTTTCTTATCAGGTGAGCAGCTCATTGTGGGACTGAATCCCATTACTCAGCTCAAGGGTCGCTGCTGTAATCTGGTGCACCACTATCATACAGCTGGGGAAAATGTACCACTTAATTATCCCCTAAATTACCAGGGCGAACTGTAACCAGGCCACTAGGAACTAACTGTAACCAGGTCACTAAGAATGAACTGCAACCAGGCCACTAGGAATGAACTGTAACCAGGCCACTAGGAACAAACTGTAACCAGGCCACTAGGAACAAACTGTAACCAGGCCACTAGGAACAAACTGTAACCAGGCCACTAGGAACAAACTTTAACCAGGCCACTAGGAACGAACTGTAACCAGGCCACTAGGAACAAACTTTAACCAGGCCACTAGGAACGAACTGTAACCAGGCCACTAGGAATAAACTTTAACCTGGCCACTAGCAACTAACTGTAACCAGGCCACTAGGGATGAATTGTAACCAGGCCACTAGGGATGGCTTGGCTGCTCCAATGGGCATCGCTGAGGAACACTGGTGTAAGGCCAGGTAAACCTCTGCCAAGAAATGTTAATGCTCTATCCAGTGTAGAAACATTGTCCAATGCCACCAAAACTAAATGAAAGCACGCTAAAACAATGAAAATAGCCCATTAACGTCAAATTTGATACTCTTGATTCTTCATAGGTTAATTCCTCACCATTAATAATTTATGCTTGGGTTTTATATTCATGCCTTCTAAACTACAGCTCTGAATAAAGGGAGGATTTTCCACTCCTCTGTTGTGCTTCAGTGCTGCTAACGTGTCCAGCATTCAGTAGTAGAGGGAAGTGGGCAGAGAGTGGCTGCCAGGCTAGCCAGCGTAGGACGCAGGGTGTGCAATGTGACAGTGACAGAAGGTGTAAGGAAGGGCACATATGGAAGGTGCCAGTGTGGGTCAGGCGACCAGACAGACAGGAGGCCTCTGTAGACACCTGGAGCACAGCCCTAACAGAGTGGCACAGCTCTACACATTGGGGCTCCAGCCAGCACGGTACGCACATACTGTGGCTACTACTTAGGACCAACTAGTGGAAGCAGAGATTGTGTGATTTTGATTTGCATATGGCGTTAGGTATGCAGACTGCGGAGCTAGCTGACTGTAGGGTTAGATGACTTTAGCAAGATAACCTATGCATTCAATATGCATTTAATTACTTCCTGCCCTAAGAGAATTAGAGCATAGATTGGCACTTTATTAAGCCTTTTCCCCCTCCACGTTCATAAAGCAATGTTTTGTACAGTGCTACATATTTTATTCAGACAAAATGTAAATTGTATGAATAACCTATTGATTATGTTTTGGCAAGACAAAAATATAAAAACAAAGGTAATATACTGTGTCTGAAGTTGAACTAAATAGCGACATTTTTTGAAAGAATTAAGAACTTGGCGATAGACATTGCATGAGTACCAAGCAGGGTTAAAAGATCAGGCCCTTTTGGCCCAGTGGACTGTAAAGGGTTGTATAATGTGAGGATGGAACTAATTGTTTTAGGCTACATTAGCTCTGATTGATTCTGAAATGCGTAAATAAATTGCGCTAATGCAGTCATTTATTCACTGTTGTTATTGCCCACAGTGTGTTTGTGGA